ACACTCGGGGTTTTACATCATCACGAATGCTCAATGAGCAGACGGCATCCTCGTCTTCATGCAACACATTTCTTTACGATATTTGAACCCCAAAAATATGGGGAATCCTCATTTCTAAACAATGGGCCTCTTTTCCAAAGAAGTTTAGCGCACTCTCTAACCTGCATTTCGACTTAGCTTGGATTGCAGCCTGGCCTTGGATAACAGTTCGGGTTTCTGGTTTCCCGTCGGGTTTCGGGTTTCGGGTTTCCCTTTCTCCGCTTTCACCTGCAGTTCTTGTTTTTTTTGTAGAATTTGCAGTTTAGCTTCTCACTTGCGTCATGGTCATCACCTGGATATCAACCTTTATTTTCCATTAATGGCGCGCGCCGATATTCTTTGGTTTTTATGCATCGCTTAGATTCGATGCAGCGCCCGAAAATATTCTTGCATGTTGAAAAACACCGAACCTGGTATTCGAACCAGCGTCTTCGTCGTTGAACCGGAATCCCCCTACCGCGCTAGGGCTAAGCACGACTTAAAGCAGTCCATCATGAAGTATCTCTCGAGAAGGCTAAGTGATGATGGCGTTGTATTCTATAATGGTAGTCTTTGCGTGTGACTGAGGTTAGAGTAGGCTTTGATAATACATAAGTGTACACTTAGTGTTGTATTGTTGATATTATTACTTCTCAATGGCTATAGATAAGAAGATAGTTAGCTATGGTGTATTCTCTGTATTTTTAACATGGATATTATGCGTTGGTAATAATAATACTCATTTCTCATTATCATCAATTATCTATGTTAGAGGGTATTGATGCTGGTAAAAAGTATCGTCCTGATTATGATCCTGAACCGTAATAATAATAATAATCTCTCTTTTTAATACTATAATACTACAGATACTTCTTTCGATGGAAGAGACAATTCTTGTCATGGGCTCATGATAGGAGATATCGAGATACTGGTGCCCGTCGCCCCCTTACACAGCAGCAGCAGCAGTCAGAATAAGAAGGCGGAGGAGGAGCTCATCAATGATGTTTATTATCATGATAGTGTTTCTGATACTAACATTACTATGTTGTATATTATTACTACGGCGGTTGTAGTAGTATTAGTATATAGTTGCTGTTATTGTTATTGAAGTATGGCCTCTTTACCTAGTCTTGGTAACCTAAGCCCTAATGATCAAGCTATAGTTAATAAAGAGATGCAGGATATGCAGGTAATGATAATAATGAGTAGTAGTATCAATGGTGATAATGTTGCTCTTCTTCTTCTTCTTCTTCTTGTTGTTGTTGTTGTTGTTGTTGTTGTTGATATAAGTGATGATTATCATCAGGTTAATGAATCGTTACAGACCTATAATGGTTTGGTAGAGCGTTGCTTCAGTGAATGTATACAGAACTTTAGAGCTAAGAAGTTGGATTTCCAAGAGGTAGTGATAGTATTATTAATAATACCCCTATTACTATCGATGGTGATGATGATAAATACTGACCATGTCTTGACTCTCTTTCAGACTGATTGTATTAAACGATGTGTTGGTAAGTATATGACGTATTCTCAAAGAGTTGGTACAAGGTTTGCTGAGAAGAATCAACAAGTAGCTCAAGAGCAACAACAACAAGCAGCAGCAGCAACAGCAGCTACTACCACCCATCCTTAATGGGTCTATTGTGGGTGAAATGGAATCGACTTATCCGTTTACATCACAATACTACATGTTGTGTTCCTATCAATACAGCTTTATCATCAGTGACTCCTCCTGCTCTATAGGGATCCTCTGAATAATATACCTTGTAGTAGTACATTGGATTCACAAATCGATATTATAATGTAGTAGCACTGTGTTTGTAGTATAAATACTATGTAATGAAGACTAGTAACGAATAGTAGTAGGAGTGGATTAATAATAATGGTATTATCATCATCATCTCGATATGATGATAAAGGACAACTATATCCCAATAGAAAAGAGAGCAATAATAAGATGAGGGGCGACATGATGATGAAGGATATGAAGAAAGCTGATAGGTAGTACTAGAAGTAGTAGTATTATTACTGAGTACTTGGATATCACATTTATAGGCTTATTAAGAAGGTATGGGAAGATAGGTGTATCGAGAAGTGGGCAAGGAGTGGTATAGGTATGATGATTAATCGTATTAAACACGATATAAAGGTGATGATGACCACATTATCAGTCTTGCTATGAGTATAAGTATAGGTAGAAGAGAGTATTCGTAGAGACAATATTAATAAGGAGCATCATATTATAATGTTGGATAATATCATCTCTAGTAGCTCTAAAGGGAATCCACTACTACCACCATTGGTTAAGTCTGCCAATACACCTCTATCTTTTATGAAGGTAATAATAATAATACTAGTAGTAATAGTAGAATAGTGATGGGAATCCTTAAAGTGGTAATAGTAGGATTTATCACTCATATCATCAATGGTTGATATCAAGCAACGAGGAGTGATAGATGATATAATAAATAGGATAAGATTACAACAGAGGGAACGTACATCATTATCGAAGAAGGATATGTTGGGCAAGAAGACAAGTATAAAGTAGATAGTCATCATCATCATCATAATTAATTTTATTACGACTAATAGTAGTAGGTCTGATGGTAAGATGACAGAAGAAGATGAGCAACAACAACAACAACAACAAGAAGAAGAAGAAGAGCAATATGATGATGATAATAATGAAGAAGAGCAGCATTACATAGAGGTATTATTAAGGATAATATGTTGTAAGGTAATATGATGTGGTGAATGTAGAATATATCGGTAATTAAGGATACATACAATAAGGGTAGATCTAGCATGATGAAGGAGAAATGGATGCAACATCATCAGAGAGTATACAAGCATGATAATAATAATGGTGATAATCTGGTGATGAAAGTAACACAAGCAAGAACATGTAGAACATATTGTGGTATCAGATAAGTATCAATGATGATGATGATGATGAAAGTATGGTATTTAATAAGTGTGATTGGTGGAATCATTTACAAAGTAATATGTATTGATATTATGTATATAATAATAATATATAGATGATCCATCAATGAGGAGTAGACTATTAAAAGAGAGAATATCACGATTGAGATTAATGAGGATAGCTAAGGAGGTAGTAGTATTAATAATGCTTATTATACTAATAAAGAGGAGTAGGAGTAGATGATAATGATAGTATTGTTGTTTTAGGCATATATGATGAAACATGCATCCATGGTTAATAACATTATACTTAATCTCATTAATATTGCATATTCATATCATCATCATCATGCCACCCAGGAAGGAGAATCATCATCTACTACTACTACCATTACCAGGAGGATGAGCGTATTGATAATAATAACCTCTACTACTACTACTACTACTACTACTACTACTACTACTACTACTACTACTACTACTACTACTACTACTACTACTACTACCACTACTACTACTACTACTACCACTACTACTACCACTACTACTACTACTACTACTACTACTACTACTACTACTACTACTACTACTACTACTACTACTACTACTACTACCACTACTACTACCACTACTACTACTACTACTACCACTACTACTACCACTACTACTACTACTACTACTAC